AAGGTGAATAACCAAAGTCTATGTTTGATTGCAGTCAAAGGGGAAAACATTGGGATCTTGCTGAAGATTTATCCTTTCAATGAATTCCTTTGCTAAGCAGTTGACATGTGCTTGAAATCCTTGCAGTAGAAAGAACATACCTTTTAGGTTTTAATCGGCTACCGAATTCTACCATCTTTGTTTGGCTGCAGTTCTCCAATGATTCCAGAGGGATTAGAAATTGTTATATATATTGTTAAACTTATTAAATACCCTGTTGCACGTGGCAGTTTGCCAGACAATGTGTAAGGAAGGGTAATGAAACAGGCCCAGTCTCTCCTCTACAGAAATTTATCACTGAAGAAGGGCACAGGGGTGTAAGGAGAAGAGCAGAATAGGGGTGAGCCAATGCAGGCATGGAAAGCTATTTCCCTTGAACACATATTTTGAAAACAGAGTTAAGAAAGTGTAGAATGCAAAGAATGGGGCTGCCAGAGAACACAATTTTGAGAAGCAGTTGCGATTAAATCCCATGTAGTTAGTTAAACAAGGCCCCCTTAGCCAAGAGTCCAAGTTTTCCTACATTGTATTCTTTCTGTCATCATCATTATCCTCAGCAGGTTTTTTTTTTTTACTGTTACATTACATATTATTTACTTCTTAGCTGCTAATATCACTATCTCCAAAATTCTCATGTGTTTGTTTCTATGTTTGTGGGCTACAGGTAACCCTGAGCCACACAGGAAAAAAATGTAACATTAAAAACAGGACATCCACTTTCTTAGAAGTCCTCTCAGCTTCTGCTGATCCCAGGACTCCCTATGGTACCTGGCTCCCATTTCTTCTTCTCTTCATTTCTCGAAGATTGCCCCTAGCCATTTCCTTGAGGCACAGTAAAATTTGAACTATTATTGTGTTTTTTCCTATTATTATGTTCCTTTAGAAGATTCACCCTCTGTAAAGATTGCCAATTTTTAGAGACAATACAGAGAATATTGGTGACTTTATTATAAATTATTCATTTATGATAAATATCACATAGATTTTTTAAAGTGTAAGAAAACTTAAGTACATAATATGGACACTAGTCAGATTTTTGATGGACTAACAAATCTCCCTCACACACAAAAAAGCAGGTGCAGCCATGTATGTGTAAACATGGGAGAGGGCAGAGGTTGACCAGCTTTCAATTTAGGACATTTCAAATTAGGATATTAACAGATTAACAAAGACTCAACTTCTAACTATTCTCACCATAATTTTACAAAAGAAAGAATTATTTTCACTAAAAAAAAAAATAGGAAGGAAATAATCTCAGAATATAACCACTACATTCTCTGGAGCTCCAGAGAAGGAAGCAAGAACAGACGGAAGAAAGGTAAGGAGACTTCCACTTTTCCAGATCATGTAGGATGGGACATCTGCTGAAGGGATAAGGAAATAAGCTTGGGTGTACTGGTAAAATTTTGGAAGATCTTTTGAGAGAAGTGGCAAACAAAGGATATTTTTCATGGCGTTAAGGCCCAGGAGCACCTGTGATCCCTTCTTAGTTTAAGAAATTGGTGCAGCTGCACCTCACTTGTTATTGGTTATGATTTGCGGGAAGAGAGGGAGATAGTACAGAAACCCCAATGTATTTGTGCAAGCCTGGAAAAGTCTGATTTCAAACCAAGGAAAGGAATTTTTTTGCATGTGTGCAAAGACCCCTAGGAAAGCTTCTTATAACTCTAGTAGTAGGTCCTTGAGAAAGTCAGCAGTCTTTGGTCAGGAGCTTGGTGGTGGCACCCATCATCCCCCAGTCCTTGTTTCTCGTCTGTGGTGTGAGGGCAAACTCTGGGCTTATCTTCCAGGCACAAACTCTAGTTGGTGTTGCTGTGGCTGCTGGGGCAAGATAAAGCTTGTCCATCTCTCCTGGTTCTGGGCACATTTTTAATAGCTTTATCGAGGTATTATTTACATACTATAAAATTCACCCATTGTAAGTGTATAATTCAATGATTTTTAGTAAATTTACAGAATCATCATCACAATCTAGTTTCAGAACTTTTCCATCACCTCTAAAATTTCTCTCCAGCCCATTCACTTGGGGTCACTGCCCACTCCCAATCGCCCTGCCCCAGGCAACTACTGCCCTTTTCTGTCTCTATGGATTTGCCTTTTCTAGATTTTTGTATAAATGGAATTATATACTGTGCGGGCCTTTGTATCTGGCTTCTTTCACTGAGGATAATGTTTCTGAGGTTCATTCATGTAGTAGCATGTATCAGTATTTTGTTCCTTTTTACTGTTGATAGTAATCCATTATATGGATATATCACATTTTGTTTATCCATTCACCAGTAATGAACATTTGGATAGTTCCTAGAATTCAGTTATTATGAATAATACTGCTATAAATATTTGCATATTTGTATATTTGTGTGGACATGTTTTTGTCTCTTGGGTGAAGTTTTAGGAGTGAAATTGCTGGTTCATATGGTTAGTTTATGAATAAATTTTCAAGAAACCTGTCAAACTCTTTTCCAGACAGCTTTGCCATTTTAAATTCCCACCAGCAACGTATGAGGATTCCAGCTTCCCCACATCCTCACCAACACTTGGTATTATTATCTGTCTTTTGGTTATAGCCATTCTATATGGTGTGTAGTGGCATCTTACTGTTTTTTTTTTTTTTAAGTTTATTAGGGTAACACTGGTTAATACAATTATATAATTTTTGAGTGTACATTATAATTTGACATCTCTATATTCTATTGTGTGATTACCACCCAGAGTCCAGTTTCCTTCAGCTACCATATATTTGATTCCCTTTACCCAATTCACCCTCCCCCAA